TGTGTGTGTGTGTGTGTGTGTGTGTGTGTGTGTGTGTGTGTGTGTGTATGCAGGACGCAGGCCTATGGGGAGGTGGGGTGATCTAGGGTCCCACAGTCTGGGCATCAGGAGACCTGAGCCTATTCTCTCGACTCACCTGTCCTCTCCGTCCCGTTTCCTCTGCTGTGGAAGGGGATGAGTATCTCAGCCACAGATTCCAGCAACTTCCAGAGAATTCTCAGATGTGCCTGCTTTTGCTAAGAACTCAGCTCTATGCAGAGGTGGAAGTGGGTAGGTGGAGAGGGAGTGGGAAGTAGGTGCCTGGAGATGGGGGCCTAAGAGCCCTCAGGAGCCCAGGGGTGCTGTCAGGGAGGCTGAAAAGAGTCATTGTGAGAAGCAGGAAGAGGCCTTCTGAGGTGGCTAATTGCAGACCCAGGCTCCTCCAGACCCCAGCAGCCTCTGAGTGCCCATTCTTCTCCAGAAGAAAGGAGAGTCCAGCGCCCCATTAGGGCTTTCGTGCTGGGGCTACAGAAGGTGCCTTGGAGGCTGGCCTTCTGAGACTACCGGTTCCCTCCACTTTCTTCCACATAAGCAACCCAGGACAGCCTCCCCTGAGGTCTGAACCTTTTGAAAGCTGTCAAGAATGGGAGTCCAGACCTGTCTTTCTATGCATGGTTGGACTCAGTTTCCCCAAGTGTAAAATGTGGGTGCCCTCCAGTCGTGGCAGCATGCTAAGATGCCATGACCACCTCTGCAGAACTGAGGCTAGGACTCTTCTGAAAAGTCTGAGCCTCAGGAGGTCCTGCCCCTGTCCTGCTGCATAGTCCGTCACAGCTTCCCTCCCTTCTGGGCACAAAAGCTCTTTACTTCTCACAGATGGAATCCAGATGACATAGCCACAAGTAGGAGCTGAGCTCTGTGTACTTTCTTCTCAGTGCTATTACTTACTGTCCCTGGGTGTGTTGCCCGAATGTGTGTCTGTGTGTCAAGTGTATGCAGAGCCCACAAAGGCAGGAGAGGGTGTTGGATTCTCTGGGGCTGGAGCTACAGAGGATTGTGATTCTCATGTGGGTGCTGAGAATCAAACCTGGGTCCTCTGGAACTGCAGCCAGTACTCTTAACAACTGGGCTTCACTTCCACCCTGGCTGAGTTGTCTTTATCAATGAATCCAGCCATTCATTCACTAAATAATGCTTCAGTCACCTTCCAGATCCCTGTTACGTGTCCTGACCTGGGCACACAAACCACCACATGCTGCCTAAAGAAACTTCAATAAGGACTGCATGGGTCATCGGTTGCAACAGGACATGAGAGGGTACAAGGTGGCCAAGGAGAGCATGCTTGGGGGTGCTGAAGGTAAAGGGTTAGCCAGGCTGCAGGAGGAGCAGTCTTATTTCAGGAGGAATTGGGCAGCATGGGCAGAGGAAACACACCACAAAAGCAGGCAGTGTGAAGGTACAAGATAGACCAGGCCTGATGTGATATGAGCATTCCACCAAGGTGCTATCCTGTGGGAAGAGAGCCAGTCTGAAAGGACAGTGCTGAGAGGCTCCATTCACAGGAGCACCTGAAGAGGCCTGTCCAATGAACAGCCAGACACAGGAAGCAGAAGGTAAGGTTGCCAGGGAATGAGGGCTAGGGGAAGGGAGCCTCTGTTTAATGGGGGGAGGGGCAGCTTCTGCTTTATGAGATAGAGTTTTAGAGCTTGATAACAGAGCCTGACCTGCACTTTTAAAAAACATTATCCATCTGTTTATATACATAATTAAAAATATACTGATGTTTGGTTGTTGCTTCTTTTCTACAGATAGCCCAGGCTAGCCTCAAACTTGTATGTAGTTAAGGATAACCTTGAACTTCTGATTTTCCTGCCTTGCCTCCTGTATTCACTCATATTACATGTGCTAAAATCAAATCCATAGGTTGGTGTATATTAAGCAAGAAGCCTAACAACTGAGCTATATCACCACTATCTACTTACCTATCTGTCTGTCTATCTATCTACCATGTATGTGACTGAACTTTTGTTCCACAGAGCTCATGTGGATATCAGAGAAAAAATTTTGGGAGGAGTTGGTTCTCTTTCACCATGTGGGTCCCAGGAATTAAACTCAGGTTGTCAGGCTTAGTAGCAGGAGCTTTTACCCACTAAGCTATCCCATCAACCTAGTTTTGGGGGTTTTGTTTTTTAAGTACATGCACCACACCAGAGAGAGAAAGAGAGAGAGAGAGATTGAGCCCAGCCTGGAGACAGAGTAGGAAAGGGATACTTGGAAAGGATGGGAGGGTTCTAAACCATGCTGAAGCTCACAGGACACCTCAGAGGCTTTGTAAAAAGATGGAGAGGGCATCAAGGAGGATGGCAGTCCTGAAGGGACTATGAGAAGCCTCTCAGTTCTTCTGCACCCAGGTTTTGCCTGCTGGAGTAGGAGGGCTGCAGTATACACGGAGGTCACTGGGTCTTGAAGCAGGCAGGATGGATTCTCATCTATGACGTCTCTTCGAGTGGCTTCAGACATACAAGGTAAAAGAGTTGATTTTATCAAGCCATTTTGTTTCAGCATAGACAGGCAGAGACAAATCACAGCCTCCAGCCCATGGCTGGCCACATGCAGGCTTTCAGGCAGCCTCTGCCACCCATCATCTCCCGCAAACACCTATTCTGTGGCCTTTTTCCTGTGTGACTTACAGAGTTCCAAACCACTATAGCTACAGGATGGCCTATCCACCCTACTGCTGCCCATCACACCGGAGGAACACCAATACCCAGAGGGAAGGGATCTGCTGAATGTCACATATATGTTGGGTCACTAGAACTCTTCCTTGGTATCTCCTTGGAGACCTGAAGAAACTGAGTCTGATAGTTGTAAAGGAAGCCTGCTACATATATTGGAGCCCTTAGCTGGACTTGCCAGTGTCTGGTGCCCAGAAACTGTTCAGACCAAAGTATCACTAATAGTAATGACATTGATATTATTGAACAATGAGGATGGTGAGTATGATGATGGTGGTGATGATGGTGGTGGTGATAACGGGTTTGTTAATGGTGGTTGTGATGGTGGTAATTGTTGGGGTCTAGATGGTCTGAAGTTCCTTCCTCAAACACAAACCCTGACCCAGATGTCACCCCATGACTGTGGAAAACAGAAGGCATGAGATAAAGTCTACAAGAAATGACCTCCAGTGGGGGTGGGGGGGAGTGCAGAAGAAAGAACTCAGATAAGGGGGTCAAAGAGACTGTTTGCTCATGGTCTGCTTACAATGCCATCTTTTTAGTAGCTAGATAAACAATATATAAACAGCAGTGGGAAAAATAAAAATCACTCATTCTTAAGCTGTCTGTGTCTATTTCTACCATTTACCCCCCTTTTCCAGATCCCTGTGATGCCCACTGTGGTGCCGGCCACAATAGGTAGTAATGGTGGTGGTAGTGGCGATAGCGATGAGAGTAGTGGAGGCTAAAGACTCGGTCTTTATTGAAGAGTGTCTAGGATCCTCTGATTTGCATTGAAACCCAGGACCAATTCTAGATTGGCAGCCTTGGCGTGAGAAGCCAGGGTCTTTGTAAAGTGAGGCTGTGCGTCTTGATTAAGGTAAGCTAGCTGCAGAAGCAGATTCTAATCATACACATTGCCGCTCTGGAGGACCCCCCACATCCACATTAAGGACTCTCAGGTAGAGACAGGCTCCTCAGAAATAGAGTTTTGAATACCACAGACCCATGTGCCCCTCATTTTTCCATAGAATGCAGAGAGTATATAATCTCCTAGCATGCTTGACAATTTGGTGTGAGTGTGTGTGTGTGTGTGTGTGTACATACTGTATATATAGGTTTAAGAGTGTATATATGTTACAAGTACATACGTATATACAGATACATATGTGTGTGTGCATGCAGAGGTCAGAGGTCAACCTTGGGTATTATTCCTCAAGAACCTTTTTTTATCTCTATATTTTTTTATTTTTGAGACAGAAACTCACTGGTTCTTCTAGACTGGCCAGCCAGCTCCAGGGCTCTACCTTTCTGGGCCTTCCTAATGCTGAGATGATAAGCACACACCACCATTCCCAGCTTACATGAGTTCTGGGATTCAGACTCAGGCTCTCATGCTAGTACAACAGGTCCTTAGCTGACTAAGCCGTTGTCACAGTCCTGATCCTTTTTTTTTTTTTTT